CCAGATATATCGTGTAGGGCCAGGTTAGGGCGCTCGACTCACAATCTACGGGTTCGAATCCCCGTTACACCAAACATGCTCGCCCTTTCAGCCGTGGGGGCGTTATAATGTGAAGGTCAATCCCAAGACTATTTAGTAGTGTAATTATGTTCATTATATCTTTATAGTTATTAATATCAGACAGTAGCAGAAATCTCTAAAGAAAGGTTTATTGTAAATCTAATAACAATTATAATGTTTTAAAAATGTTTGATTTATAAGACTCTGTTTATTTTCTGTTGATCACGTGTGTTTAATGTAGAACTTTTAATTTTCATATGAAAATAAGACCTGATGGATTTGTTTCAAGGAAAGAACCACAGAAATAAACCATAGAATAAATATATAGTATCATTGTTAATGAGTAGCGTAATAACGTTCATTATATCTTTATAGTTATCAATATCAGAGAATAAACAGAAATCTTTACAGAAAGATGTGTCGTAAATATAATGACGATTATAATATTTTTAAAAATATTACTTTTACTTAACTGCCAAATCTAAAGTACAGCTTAACTACTAAATTTAAATCTATCAGTTAACTCAATTTCAAACTATTTGAAATTGCAATACGTAACAATGGTCTGAGTATAGTTTTGTTAAGATAAGTTGTGTAAGGTTTACCTCACTTTGCTTCATAGAACTTTGTTACAACAATAGTCGAAATCGGAGATCACGTGGTCGTAACATAATATCGTATAATAAGAAACGAGGCAATACACGATGTATTTGTTTGTTTGTTATGAATTTCGTGCAAAGCTACACGAGTGCTATCTGCGCTAGCCGTATCTAATTTAGCCTTGTAAGACTGGAGGGAAGGCAGCTAGTCATCACCACCCACCGCCAACTCTTGGCCTACTCTTTTACCAACGAATAGTGTTTCATTTTTATGGTTCTTTCTTGGAAACAAATCCATCAGGTCGTATTTTCATCTCACTTTTCTTCAGAGAATATTTATGTCCTTTCCAATGATACCAATTAATACCAACGGCGAATTCTTCATGTGGTCCCCTAAGATACAAACCGTTTAAATTAGAGTACTGACAATTATTATACCACCAGCCACCTTTGTAAGTCGTGGCACAGTTCTTCTCCCATTTATCATTATCTCTGTCCCTGGAGGAAAACATCATGTTATTGTGGGTTGAAAGCGAGTCTCCTAAAATCAAGTAAATAAAAAAAAATCATCAAAATGTTGACCCACTAAACCCGATTGTGTCGTCAGAATTTAAGGTCATGTAATATGTGTTTTACTCAGATATTTTTATAAAATATGAGTTTGCATTCTTCAGTTGGTTCTGAGTTAAAGACAATTTCTGTTTCAGGAATGTTTCTCTCCAAAACCAAACATTAGCTCTTAGAATCCTTTGACCTGTTCTAAACCCTCAAATATTTCTTAAAAACATTGTGCACTCTGTTAAAGATAATGTACTTTAGTACCATTTATCATTGGTAGGTGGCGATAAATAAACATATCATGAAAAGTTATATTTATAATTTGTTTGATCTACGGAATGAAATTTCTCACCTGCGTCACCCTTGTACGTTTTATAACTGATTTTATACACTTCCCTTTCACTTCGCACCAAGAACTCATCATATTCTGCATATCTTTGATCACCTTCCATATCTTCTAAATCGATTCGAAGTACCACATTGTGTTGATTGGTTAAGGCAAATATGACGTCATTTCCTTGTAGAAGGAACATACAAAAACAATTTGTGCATTATCTATGAAAAGAATGAACATTGGAAGAATAATTCTGGATTTCTATTAGCTGTTTTATATTTTGTTTAACAAATAGCCTTAAAAATGTTTTAATAGAAAAAATATATATTGCGTCTGTATAATAAAACAATTACCTAACCAAAATTCTCTGGTTAAATTTCCAAATCCAGTTTTGTAACTAGTCCATGTTTGGTAAAAGTCCTCAACCGGGTTTCCAAAATCACCCCTTCTTTGAATTATCTACTGAAATAGAGAAAGAGAAATAAATGTGTTACGTTATATAAACCGAACTTACATTTAACACAATTCATCACGTGTTCATATATAGCATATTGAAACATTTGCCAGTAATAAAGATAATTAATAATTGTATTTATATAAGGGAGTCTAATAAACAAATATATTACTATTAACTATACATCTTACCTCAACTTTAATTCTCCACGATATCAACGATATAATCACTGTAATAATAATACCAGAACCTTATAAGCTGTAGTTGAATTGTGGTTTCAGGTTTATAGTATCGTGCAGCCTAATGATTGTGTTACAAGTAGACGGTAGGAACATAATTTGTCTTTTGTTTTTACGATTATATGTATGATTTTGTGATAAAAAAAGAGACATTATAAGTTCTTTTAAAATATTAAAATTAACAATGTGGGTTCATATTATTAATAGTTTTTATTTTTCTAAATTAGAATCTTCTTCGTACTTATTTTGGACATCACAGACTTCTACTGGATCACCTACCGTCCATCCTCCCCCTACAGTCTCCATATCACAGTATACAGAGATTAAGTGGTTCAGAAAATGTGGCCATATCTTGAAGACGCCGTTTGTTTGATTTAAGTGATGATAGATGGCGGAACAGTCTACCGTTAGAGAGGTTCTCTCT